CCAGCCCGCCCCCGACGCCGGAGGTCCGCCGGGGGGTGCACGCCGCCGCCGCGGCTCTCTCCCCGCCCTCCGCAGCTTCCCTTTCCCAGGGGCGAGGACCGGGGCTCCGCTGGCCCTACGCGGAGGCCGAAAAGGCTCGGAGAGATTGGAGGGACGCGCGGGGTTAACTCACCTCACTGGAAGCAATCGCAGTAGTGACCTAGCCTTCCTGGAGCGGAAGCGCCTCTGGCTACACACCGTTCCCGGACTACATTTCCCAGAATCCCCAAGAGGGTGCGCCTCCGCGTTAACATACCTCGGGGACTACATTTCCCAGGATGCAGTTCGCAGGAGCCTTGGCTTTGGTTTTGACTGTAGAGCTGGTTTGGTTTGAGAGTCACTTCTCCGGTGCTATTAATTGTCAGATTCTTTTTCGTTTTATTCATTTCTTGAAGCTCATGAGATAATAATGTAAGAAGATAGTTGTTTGGGTAACAACTCAATAATTGCGAATTTTAAAAAATGCGGCCGTATAAGAGAGAAAAGCGGGGCTTGCGCTACAAGTCAGTTAAAAGCCAAAAACTTTAGGGGCAAAGGGTAGACTAAAAAATGGGAAACATAAAAGTGATCTAGGCTGAGCTGAACTTAAGGAACACTGGATTTCAAACTTGTTTCGGATGCTGGCTCCCCAAATATCAGCAATAAAACCTGTTAACGAGATAAGAACGTAGTGTATTGCTTACCGCGGCAAGGGAGAAACGCCACCTCGACAGAGCTTTGGCACCTTGATAAAGTGTCGGGGGAGCCAGGAAGTAGGGTTGGAATTTACTGAGACTTGGAAGTTTGGTTTAAGGTGGGTCTTTCAATGCAAAAGACTTGACTGGGACTGCGTGAAGGTCATGATGCTACAATCCAACATTGACGGTACCAGGAAGGATTTTTGTAGACAACGAGTCTACAGGTGCAAACTGTCGATGCTTTCTTTTGAAGAGATGGTAGAGTTGATGGGTGTTCGTGGAAGTTCCTGTAATGAACAATCCAGCAATTTGCTTGGGCAAGAATTTCCTGGAATAGTAAAGGTATGCTAATAAAACTGAAGTTATGTTCATGTACCCAGTAAACGATGGGAGGAAAGGTAGGAAATCTGTCTTCATTGTCCAAGCTGTGCGTCTTGGGGAGAGGGGGGAGGGGTTGAAATGAAGTGTTTTGACTCCTTTGCTTCCTTTATTAGCAAAGCACTTAAGGGTTCTTGAGCTGTTCATTACCATACGCTAAGAATTTGTAAAAAGGCTATACACACGTTGATTAAAGTACAAACAGGAATATCTTTAACTTCAATTTTTTTTTCAAATATAGTGATTGTTATGGCAAACGAAAGCAGCTCCATTGCAAGGAATTTAAGAAAATATTGTGACGTGTGCATATATAAAATCCACAGTTGTTTTCTAACGCAAGTTTGGCTTCAGATATTTGATTACATACTTCTAAGTTCTGCTCCTGACAAATAAAGTGTCCTGTGACTGAATAAGCCAAGTGAACAAGGACGTGATGATTTTTCTCCTAGGCAGGAAATGTATTTTGTAGCTTTTTATTATGAAAGTTTTCAAAAGAGAGAACAGTAAAATGCACCCCATATACTCATATCCAAAATTCAACTTAATTTTAAACATTTAATTCATCTATCACTATTATTTTTAGTTATAGTAGAATTTTGAAACAAATCCCCGACATCATGTCTTTTCACACCTTGTTAAATATTTAAAAAATAAAAATATTCTTTCAAAACCACAATACCCTTATCATGCTAAATAAAATAATTATTAATTCTTTAATATTTCCTAATATCCAGTCTGTTTTCAGATTTTCCCCAAACCCCCTCATCAGTGGTTTGTTCAAATCAATGTCCAGAGTCCATTCATTTTATTTGTTCAGGTGTGTTTATTCTTGAATACTATCCATTCACTTCTTCTTACAGAACTTTGACCTGTTGAGGAATCGGGTTGGTTGTCATGATGATCTACATTCTGAATTTCTCCTGTTTATTTTTCATATCATTAGATAGTTTCTTCGTCTATTCTGTTTCCTATAAAGTAAAATTTAAATCTAAAGGCCTGTTTAAAGTTCATCTCTTTTGATAGAACACGTCATAGATGGTACTGGAAACATCTGAGCAAAGACCAGTTGAAGCCACTTCAAATCCTTGGCAAAGCACTTCTAAGGAGGAAAAATAAAAACAGTAAATATGTGAAAAATAGTGGTTTTAAAGAACCATTTTAAGGAATCAGATGAAAGGATTTTGCCGAAAAGTAGAAACATTTGGTAATAATTGTTTTGTAGTTTCACATATGAAACAGGATTAACTCAATAATAGGAAAGATAATTTTCAGATAAAGATTACTGCCAAATTAAAAAATACAATGGAGGCTTCTACTTTGACTAGTGGCAAAATAGGTATTTCCCATTAACTAGACACATAAACACAAAAAAAACACATACATACACACACACACAAGGTCTGTCTGTAAGAAAAGAACGTGTGGAGAATGAATTAGCAGCCCAAAATTCAGGAGAATAGGGAAATCTAGAGAAGAGAGCCAGTTACAGGAGCCACTTTTGCCCTGAGAGGCACTCGCCAACTCAGGAAACTGTAAGGCCAAGAAACAAGGCACTTGTCCTGACACAATGATGGAGCTACGGTTATAAAAGTTGTGTCACCCATACCAGGCCCTGAGAGCTAAAGGAGCCCTGCCTTGATTTACCACTGTGTTTGTTTCAGAAGCACCAGAGCTGCTTCGCACCTGCGCCATATGAGATGAAGCGATCAACCGTCCTGAACCAGCTCTGACTTCACCACAGGGACGTGCCTGTGCAGATGAGACCTGACGGTGTCCCAGGGTTACCTTCGCTTCATTAACGTGCTAAGAGATCTCTGCCCAAGGAAGGGGCTTGTATTCTGCTGGGCACAATTCCAGCCGGGTGCCGAGAAGCCGGGAAGACTGCGCATGCCCCGGCTGCCCACACCCCACCCCCTTTCCTAGAGCCCTGATGACGTATCTGCTTCTAACCCTTAAAATCGCCTTATTCCCCTCCCTTTGGGGAAAAGGTGTTTTTAGATCAGGAGTTCCCCTTCTCCATTCCCTGATTAATGAGTAAAGTTTCTGCTCTGCTATACTGAACCTGATTTCACTTAATTGCATTTGCAACTTCAGACAAAGGACGCATTGAGGGGTCAACAACCAGTTGGGGATGGGTAACTGTTGGAGTCCAGTGCCTCCCATGAGCAAGGAACTAGTAAAACTCCTATGTTTTGTGTTGGACACCAAAGCCCACTGTACCCTAGCGGGGAGAGTGAAGGGGTATAGATCTGCTCTGGTGGGGCTGAAGCATAGCCCCAAATCAGCTGGTATCCTTGAAACTGGATAAAAGTAATCTTTAATCGCTAATGCTCTCAGGCATCTAATAGTATCAAATAAAAATCCTTTTTGGAAGAAAAGATATGACCCTAAGCCTGAAATTACTTTGACAAAATTTCAAATACAATATTAATATCAGACAAAATGTATTTTAAAGCAAAAAGCATTGCTAGACCATGCAAGTTGCACATGGGTGTTCATAATTATTTATAACAGACAAAAAGTGGAAACTACTCAAATGTCCATCACCCGATGGATGGGTAAACAAAATGTACACCCATAGGATGGAACATAATTTGGCCATAAAAAAGGAATGAAGTACTGATACAAAGATGAACTGTGAAAACATTATGCTAAGTGAAGCCAGCCCAAAAGGCCACACAGTGTACGATTCCACGTATATGAAATGTCCGAATTAGGCAAATCCATAGAGACAGAAAGCAGATTAAGGGTTGCCAGGGGCTTGCGGGGAGGAAGAATGGGGAGTGACTGTGACTGGGTGCAGGGTTTCATTTAGGGGTGATGAAGATGTTCTGGAATTAAATGGTGATGGTTGCACAACTCTGAATATACTAAACCCACTGAATTGTACATTTTAAAAGGGTGAATTTTATAGTATGTGAAGCAGATATTAATAAAGATGCTTTTTTATTTTTATTGAAGTACAGTTACAATGTGTCCATTTAAGATGTTTTGAAAGAAAGCATTGTTAGAAATACCCTTCATATTGATAAAATGTTAAATTCATCAAGAACATAAAATAATTCTAAATTTGTATGCACCTTGTATATTTGCATATTGTTAATTTGTATAATAAATAATTTGGCTGGCCTTTGTCCGAGCTCCTGGGAGGTAGTGGAGTAAGTCTTTGTTATTCCTGGCATTACACCTGATAGGTTATGCTAGAGAGATGGATTATGGTGGGTCCCTGGACATGACTACGCTAAAGACATGACTCAGGATGAATGCTGATCACCCCAGAGAGACCAACCATGTGATTTGAGGTTTTTGAGCCAGGTGATACTAGTCTATGGAGAGAAAGGAGGCTGAAGATTGAGTCACATGGTCAATGATTCAGTCAATCATGCTACATAATAAAGCCCCGATAAACTCTACAGACGCTGGAGCTTGTGTGAGCCTCCCCAGTTGGCTGTCCTCTGCACAGGGCTACACACCTGTGTGCTGGGACGGTAATGTGTCCGGACGCCACGGACAGAGGACAATGGAAGCCTTGCATTGGGAACCCTCCCAGACCATGACCCGTGTCTCTCCCTTTGGCTGGATCTGATTTATACCCTTTTGCTATAATAAAACTGTAATTTGTGAACATAGTGCTTTCCTGAGTTCTGTGAGTTGTTCTAGTGAATTATCGAACCCGAGGGATTAGTGATCAGAAGTGAGGGTGGAATTGGAACCCCTGAACTGGAAGCTTGACTGGAAGTCTTGTGGGGTCTATGTCCTCAACCTTGAAAGTCTGATCTAAGTTTGGGTGGTTGGCATTAGAAGTCATTGCATCCCCTAATAATATGGGGGAATACCTCCATGATCTCAGGGTAGGAAGTTTTCTTAATAAGTACATATAAAATCCACTAATCATAAAAGGAAAGACTGATATTTTAGACCCTATCAAAATTAAGGACACATCTATTCATCAAAAGACACCATTATGAGACCTCACTTTAATAATGAACAAATATATTTTTAAAACCCCATTTCTAAGACAGTTGGGAAAATAAATATACTAACTGGAATGTTTGATGAGGTTACTTGAATTTTAAAAAATGATAACAGGATTATTTCAGAAAACTGAAGTTCAGCATGTATGTGTGCGTAAGTACGTGGGTGTGCATGCACACGCACACACACACAAACTGGTCTAAGCCCCATCTCCAATTTAACAATGGAAAATCTCAGTAGATGAATTTAAGGGGAGGACTGCCAATGATGAGAGCAAAGACAGTAATCTCTAAGAGTAAGTAATAGAAATTTCTCAAAACACAGAGTAGAAATACAACCAGTTGGAAATCAAGTTGGGAAGAGAGGAGATTTGAAAGATACATCCTGGAAACCTATCATGCGAGTAAAAGGAATTCCAAAAATTGAAGAAGGGAAGAGAAGAGAAAATAATTAACTAGATAATGGAAGGACACTGTCTTGAGCTGAAGAAAGAAGTAACACTGCAGACTGATAAGGCTAGCTACCAAGGCTCATGCCTGGATTGATGAAAAAAACTCCCACCTGGGCATATCTGGGCAGAATTCTGGAATTCTAAGATTAAAATGAAAATCTTAGAAACCCTCAGGCAGAAAGAACAAGTTACTCATAAAAGCAAAAGAATCCATTGATACTGAACTCTTCCTCTACAAAACAGGAACACAGAAGAAGGGAGGAGCACTCCCACATGCTAAAGAGAACAGAACAGCAAGCCAACAGTGTTCTACTGAAGCTACGTGTCATTTACTTGTCAGAGCAAAAGGAAGGATCGTCCTGAACCCAGAGAGTACATCCCCACAGGAGGAAAACACACAGAATTGCTAACCACCAAATGCTGCCTGCGGCTGTGGCTCCCGAGAACTATAAGCCCGAGGAGAAGTACCAGCCTCACAACCTAGATGGAGCCAAGATGCCCTCTGGTTCTGTGCTTGTTTCAGCTACTCCCATATCATCAGGAAGCAGCAGCTCCAGACTATCATCTTATAAACCAGGAGATGCTGGCAAAGAAGACCAGTCCAACATCCTGCTCATACAGCAGAGGCTGCACCCTGTGAGAAGCCGGGTCACTGTCCTGGCCCCCAGATCCAGAGCGGTGGTGAGACTCCACCCCTGAGGAGAGGCAGGCCATAAGGACCACAGCCCTGTGGCTCTCCCTAAGGGGAATGACCTTATTTGAGAGTGTGGGTGAGTTAAACTTCATAATGTCAGAGATCCCACTTTACATACATTTATTGCTTTAGTAAGATGAAGTTCATTGCAAAATTAAAAAATAGAAGAGAACTATATTGAATACCTTCTAATGGCCTATATTGACAAAGAATATGACAAGGAATATACATGTGTGTCTGTATGTGTTAGAGCAGGCAGAGAGCTAGATATGAGCAGAGGAAGGGGGACACAGACCAAATGGCAGGAATTGGGCAGAAAGGAGGGGCACAGGCCAAATGCACGAAACCACACATCATGTAAGCAGCAGGGGTCCCTGGGCAGAGAAAGAAAAGCAGGAACTTTGGGGCTGATAAGGGGCCACACCTTTTGGCCTGAAGACCAACAAAGAAAGGTGAGAAAAGACAGGAATTTCCGGCGTCTGAATGTAACCTTTTGCTCATTATGCCCTCATTTCAATAAAATTAGCCTTGCAGATCAGAAGTACTCATCATGCACTGATGCCATGACACTTCTGATCCAGACTAAATAAGGACGAAAATCCCTCCTCCCTTTGGGAAAGTGGAGTTGGGATGATATCAGGAAATACGACCCCCAAGCCCTTTCCTCCTCAATGAATGTTCCACTCATTCATTTTTACACCATACGTACCTAACTTGCCAAAGAAACTCAGGGCAGCCGCTCACCTGAGCCTGCCCGCTCTCTCCTTGAGAGTGTACTATCCATCCTTTAATAAACTCTCACTTTACTTTTTTAACCTCTACGTCTTGTCTCTGAATTCTTTTTGGGACAGGACAAGAACCTGGAACACCAGTTGCATCCACAGGCAGCATATGTATAAACGAATCACTGGACTTGCAGACCGCAGAGACACATGTTAAACATTTTGAAATATACTAACTCCTCTCCAGAATTCATGCATTTTTTACAGCTACTTATAGAGACAACTATGTAAAAATGTCAAGCCTACTCCAATAATGTAAACATTTGAAAATAAAATGACCAAATGCCAACAATTAAAAAGAATTTTTTCCCCTTGGGGTCTGGGAGGGAGAATACTGGATAGGGAACTTGACAAAATTAATATTCAAATCCAGCATAGCTGTACCTAAGAAGTGTTAATGGAAGGAATGCTATGGTAGTCTGAATACAGTTACATCAAAGCTTCCTGAAAATATGAAGAATAAAACAAGCCAACTATCAAAGTTTTACTATGACAACTTTTGTCATTAGTAACTATTTTTGACACTTCCTAAGTGTTATAATAAAATTCTACTTGAACACTCTAGTGGGTCAAAAGATTCAAGTGTTATGAAGTGTCCTCTTACTGAAATAAACAAATAATTTTTGTTTATGTTACTGAAATATAAACAAAAATAATTTTTAGTCAGGTTATACCATCACAAAAGTCATAAAGGATAGCTGAACTCAAATTGTTTACAAGTGATGGAATATGAAACAGAGCGCCAAATAATAAGAACTCAACTTGAGAAAGGTTTTATAAATTAGCCAGAGATAGACCCTGCGTATCAGCCCTAGAGTGTTTACTTCTTCATAGCAGGTTGGGACCATTAGCAAGAAAACCTGCTGGTGCCAAACTAAAATCCTTTCATAGCCAATTATTTTAACAGCCCAAATAAGCATATTGTTAGTCATTTAGAGCCTGCTTATTTTGTATACTCTGCAAAACTGCATCCAACATCTGCTAGCCATAAAGACAAACCCGGGAGCTATAACAGACCTTCAATAGCCGCTGCCTTTAGGAGTTCCCTGACCCCAAGATTCTGCCTTGGACTGCCACCGAGCAACATAACTTGGACCTGTAAGTCCCACTTCCCCTGGGAGTTCCCCTGCCCTCTCGCTCTTCTCGGCGGTGGCAGCCACACACTGTAGTCTTTGCGAGGTCTTGTGCTGTGAGACTTCCCCTCGCAGATGCAATCCTGTCAAGCACCACCTAAATGAACCGCACCGTGTGCTACTGCCACTTCTGGGTCATATCTTCTCCCTTCATCAGCCCTGAGATCTTTTAACTCACTGTACGAATACAGGCTGGGGAGAGAACTGGGGCCAATCACAATAGTGTAAGACCCAACCAGATCATGCAATGCCATTGGTCTTCTGCATTTTGCCTGTTTACTTAGTTTTTGCAGGGCTCTTCTGAATAAACTTTATATGAAAAATTTGAGATGAACTTAATATAATTTTCTCCCTTTTACTCATATAACAAACAAGATCAGCATATGTACAAAGCACAAAGCAATGGTAAGTCTATGCAGCTTCAGCAATGAACAAGGCTCTGTCCTCTGAACACTTACTGGAAACCAGTTTTTGTCATCACACTTTTAAGCACGTGATCATAGTCATTCTTTTTAATATCTCCCTCCTGAGTAATGTCTGATAAACGTCAAAGTTCTGACCAGTGTCCTTAGTGTACACTTACAACAGTTCTCTGCCATATAGGCTCTTAACCACTGGGACATGTCCAGCTATGGCCAAAACACTGACTTTGATGAAAATATTTTCTCTCTCTTGACTTGACCACATGACTTGATGAATTTAGATCTCATTTCAATCTTTTAAAGACACCATTTCATACAACTGTTTTCCTATGTGGATCCTCTGATAAAATTCCTACCACTCTCATCACTTCTTCAAAAATTTATCTTGGATAAATTAGATGATTCACAAAAGTCGACCTCAAACTGAAGCTCTTACCATATTATCTCATAATTGGAAGTTTTTTTTCCTGTGTGAACAGTCTGATGACACTGAAGTCGCAAAGACCATCTGAAAACCATACTGTATATACTTTTGTATTTGTATGGCTTCTCTCTGGAGTGGATACTATGATGAAGCTGAAGTCTTGAGGTGTAACTGAAGCACTTAGAACACTCCCTCTATTTATATTGTTTCTCTTCCATGTGGACTCTCCAGTTAATCCAATGCCCTACAACCAGCATGGGTTCTCTGGGAGGCTTGAAGTTGTAGTCTCTGGCAGAACCTCCACCCACACTTCTCCCATCTGAATGTTTTCTCTTCACTGTTGTCTCTCTGATGGACCACAATGGCCTGACTGGAGCTTGACAGGTTCCTCGTGCTTAAAGACTTAAGGTCTCCAGAGACAGAACTTTTCTGATGAGATGGCTGGTGGTATTGACAAAAGTGATCTTTAAAAATACTATAAAATAAAATGTATCAATATGTGAAAGACCTCCAAAACTCAGCCATTTAATATTTTCCAAATGAGTGATGCATAATTTCACAAAACCATGAATGGATACAAGACATACGAAAAATACTCTGATACGGTTTTGATTCTACATTGCAATAATTTTAATAAACTATCACTTGTGGGATTTGGGTACAGTATCAAAGAAGAATATTATCTTAGAGTCTATTAAAGTAACTCTTTTATAATTATAACTGTGGGAAGCTGTTTTCTTTATTTCAACCAAAACAATACATCACAACAGGTAATGCAGAAAAAGATGTGAAAATCCAGCTATTTTTCTTATAAAAATTCAGGAATTAAAGAGATTTGCCCAAAATTTAAAACATTGCTACTCTTCTCATTAAATTTGTTTTTGGAAATACAGTTTTCTCATAAAAGTTAGTTCTGTTATAGGTTTATTTTTAAAGTAGATTAATAAACAATTTTTACGTATTAATTCCTAGATAATAAATACGTTTTTCATAGCGCCATCCCAACTGTAACTTGTATAAAGCCCTTAGACTGGAACTTGATAACTAAGGCTTAATTAGTGGCATTGCTCAAGACCAAATACACATCCTACATATTCTCCAATTTATGTGACTATACAGGAAAAAAATGCCAAGTCCTACTTACGTGGGGCCCTGCTGCCAGGAGCCAAGGGGTCCCTCACTCCGTCCACCTTGGAGCAGTTCTTGTGAAGTCAGGGCTGGGGAAGGAAAGGAGGCTGTGAAACATCACCATTGCCCAAATAAACCACAGAGGACATTCCAATGCTATTAGAAAGGTACTACTATCAACCAATTTTACAGATGAGCAAACAGAGGCACAGAGAGATTAAGGAACCTGACCAATGTTGTATTTCCAGGAAAGGGTCTGACAGGTGGGGGAGGAGAGTTAGGGGAGCCGAGGGCGCGAGAGCCTGCAACCCCCAACCGCGCCCAACCCGGGCACCCGAGAATCTCCCTAAACGTGAGACGATTCCCTCAATGTGAACTAAAACTGCCGTCCTCACACCTCAAACATCTGCTTTCCCCCTCAAGCCCACAGCTGGGTTGTTGTTGCTTCAAGAGCAGGTCGAGGAAGTTCAGAAGCGTTGCGAGATGAGGAACCCACAATCACTACGCGAACACAAGGTCATAACCCCGCCCACCTGGGCCGGAAGTGCCTGCAACTACCAGGAGCTCTAGATCAACATTTCCCAGAACTCCCCAGTACAGCCCTTTGGGAACGGAAGTGCATGAGACTACACGGTGTTCTTGGACTACACTTCCCAGAATGCCCAAGGAGGACAACATCCACAGCCCCGCCCTTCGGGGAGGAAGTACCTGTGAGTACTTGGAGCCCCTGAGCCGAAGGAGAGCGCTGTCCACGGTCCTGCCTGGCAGGAGCAAAAGTGCTTGCGGCCACGGGGAGGGCCTGCACATTACTTCTCACAGTGCCCTAGGAAAACAATGACTACAGCCTCGTCTTCCCGGGAGAAAATATGGATTACTACACTGAGTACCTGGATTAAATTTCCTAGAATCCTGGAGGGGAAAACATTACAGAGACATGCAGTTCTGGAGTCCAAATATCTCCAAAAATCAGAGCTCTGGAGAACTGAGTGCCACTGACCCGCTGCCTGGCCAGAAGAAGCTTCTTCTATGTCTTCTGGATCTTCTAATTTCCAGAGTGGCTTCATGGTAGCACTTTCCGCCAGGCTGACCTTTGGTGTTATGAACAATTGGGTTCCGTTTGGATGAATTCTGTGCCTCTGGTCGAGCCCAGTCTTCCCTGTTCTTTTTTCTCACTTCCCTATCCCTCTTCTCATGTAAGTATACTAATAAGCAGTTGTCAAGGAAATGCCTTGTATAGGGGAAAAATAATATTTTCTGTGGAGGAAAGACATTATCATCCTTGGCTACAAATTATCACTACATTAAAAACTACAGCATAAACAATAGGCAAAGTAAATTTTAACACCAAAAAACTACTACATTGTAGTGATAAAGATTAAATTATCCAAGAACATAACACAAATGTATAATTACATGCATGTAACAAATATCCTCAAATATATATTTTTAACTGGCAGAACTAAAAGGAGTCATACTCTCTGATTACATAATAGAATACACACACACACACACACACACACACACACACACACACACACACACACACAAACAGTAAGCATATGGAAGATTTGACACTACTAGGAAATGTGATCTAATTATACATGGCATACACGTCTGTTCAGGTACACATAGAACGTTTACAAAATTTGACCACATGCTGGACCATAAAGTGTAAACAGCAAATTTCAAAACACTTCAATAATATATATTCTCAATGAGGTGCAATAAGGCTAGAAATCAGTAATAAATCCTTACTAGACAATTGTAGCTTATCTGTAAATTAAGAATCTTAACGATGGATGCGTGAAAGCTCAATGGATGGGCTCAGGGGAATCTGGAATATATTTGTAGCTGGATTAATAAAAATACATATCAACGTTTATTAGATGCAACCAAAGCCACACTTTAAGGGAAATATAAATTATTAAATACATATACTAGGAAATAATGCTGAAAATCAGTAAGAGACACATCAATCTCATGAAGTTTAAAAAGGATGGGGGGTGGGGTATAGCTCAGTAGTAGAGCGTGTGCTTAGCACTGGATTCAATCTCCAGTACCACCATTAAAATAATAATAATAATAATAATAATAATAATAATAATAATAATAATAATAATAATAGCAGTGGACCTCCAATTCTGAACAAGATGGACTAAGCATATTCTACTCCATTCCTCCTGCTATTTACAAGTAAAACCCCTACACAAAAAACATAGGGAAACTAATAAAATTCTGACAGGTTGAAACAAGATGGCAGACAGGCTAGGGACATCAGGACTTGAGGAGTAACCTGAAGGTGAGTTCCCTGGTGTGTGTGTGTGTGTGTGTGTGTGTGTGTGTTTGCACACACCCTTTACAGGACAGAACCTTTTTGACTAAGTCCATTCTCCTTCAGGTAATACCACAAAAAGCTGAGCTCCTTCCCCTTTTCATTCAGTCCCACGTCCTGCAGACTGTGGGCAGAGTCTTGTCGTCCATTCCAGCCCTGCACTAATGAGAGGCTACGGCCCTCTTCCAACTAGGAATTTTGGAGACTGTGAGGCGGAGCCCTGCGGACTACCCCTCACATCCCACACATGCACTGAATGAAAGTCAGCACCCTACCCCATCCCAACTAGAAAGTGGGAGGAGGATTTGAGAGATGATGGAGCTGGAAAAAGGGACTTAAAGTGCTTCAAAAAATAAAAGGAAAAGAAAGGAAAAAAGGAAGAAAGAAAGGGAAAGAAGGGATAAATTAAGCAAGTGTGGGAAAATATTTATTGTGGAATCTGATGGGAACAGGGGAGTCCACTTTACCGCTCTTTTTGAGTATTGGTCAATTTTATAGCAAAGCCTCCAAAAGTAATCATAGTCCAATTAGTTTAAATTCTGCTGTTTTTGTGAAATAAAGAAGCCATATTAACCTCTCTCAGCCTGTTTTTTAATTTTTTTTTCATTTCTGCAGTCAGGATGTATCTACTACATGAGAATAGGAACACTATATTTAGGAGAAATAACCCAAATCCCCAATTACCTGAAACTTGACAACATATCCTATTTTTGAAGAAAATCAGTGTACTAACAAGGCATAGTTGAGTGAGAAGGAAAAACCCATGACATCACTGTTTCCTGCCTCACCCAGGGTAGTTAGGTGGCGCCTACACAGGTAGGATTTAACTAGCTGGTACTATCGGGTCCCTCTTACCTGTATGATTTCTTCACACATCCTTCTTCCCAAGTTGTTCTTTCCTCTTCTCTCACCTTCCCATGTCTTGGACTCTCACTTGCTACTGATGCTTTTGGGCCATGTTCTTTCTTTCCCTTTTCTTAATTTCCTGAATGCAATGACATTAGGTCCTAAACAACTTGAACAGGAGGCTACAGAATTGCTTTTTTGGAGATATCTCGGGGAAAATTCTCATTAACAAGGAGTGGTGTCATTTCCTGCTTTCATATTCTAGAACTCTACTATTATTCTAGTAGTCCCACGGCCTGAGGAGAAGCTTTAAATTAGCTGAAATCTTAAATCTTGGCTTTCAACAGTCTCCACTAAAAATTTGATTCTCAGGTTGTCCCTTTGCTCTGGAAACACTGACTACAAACATATTGCATTTAAGGCATGTTGTCTAGCTTGGAAGTAAAGCTCAACTTACTGCAGCAGGACAGACAGAGCCTGGGTCCCTGACTGATGGTGGAAGCTGCCCATTTAATCAGGCGCTCCCCAGGGAACTCATAAGCCTGAAGTAAAGTTCTATTGTGTTAAGCCCCTGAGATGTGGGGGGTTGGTTTACAGCAGTCAGTCTATCCCCACCTGAAAGGAAAGCTATATCTGTGTGATTTTTGCTTATATCCTTTGAATCATTAATAGTATCTGTTGTGGAAAAACTATAATTCATGTGATTCTGCCATGACAATTGATTACTTTGTTTTAGCACAGGAGTTAATAGGAAAATTGAAAGAATATGAATTTTGTAGTTCTCAATTTTTCACAAATATCTTTAGAAGAGTGGCAAACATTCTTCAGCAGGAAATAAGTTGAGTAATAATTAGTACATAAACATAGTAGAGTACTGTGCAGACCATAAGAGGATGTGGCAAATGCATTTGTTGATAGGGTAAATGTTTTTTAACATACTGATAAGTAAAAAAGTTAGAAAATAGTTGCATGGTATAATCCCAGTTTTGAAAAAATATTATACAGAGGTGTTTGCTTACGTCACATGAGGCATAGTAAACCAAAGTATTTACAGTACGTAACTGAGTGGTAAGTTTGAATTTTCAAATAATTTCACTTACACATTTGAGTTTTTCTGTAGAATTTTATTTGCAATGTTCAGGAATTCATTTCAAATCAGTTTACTGAGGTCTAATTTATGTATTATAATATTTACTCTTTTTAGAATATAGTTCTATGAATTTTGACCAACATATACATTAAAATCAAGATATGGAACATGTTCATCACTCCAAACCATATTGCATGTGCGATTCATCCATGTTGTTGTATTTGTAGTTTATTTTTACTGTTGAGCAGCACTCCATTGTATGGATATAACATAGTTTATTTTTCCCATTCTCCAGGTAAAGTATATTTGGGTTGTTTTGAGGTTTTTCAGTTATAATGATGCTGCTATAAACTTTTGCATTCAGGTATTTGCACAAACTTGTTTTCATGGTATTGCTGTGATGTATGCCATGTGAATGTTCTTTATAAGGAATTGCCACACTGTATTTCAAAGTGGCTGTAGTGTTTTGTATCTCTATAGCAATGTCTGAGAGCTCCAGTTGCTCTTCATCATTTTCTGCACTTGGTATTGTCTTTTTTTTTTTCATTTGAAGAACAAATTCATTCTAATAGGTGTCTAATTCTATCTCATTGTGGTTTTAACTTGAATTTCCCTAATGACTAGTGATGTTGACCCTAATATCATGTCCTTATTTTACAGCTATATATGTTTTTGGTGAAGTGCCGTTGAAAACTTTTGCCTATATGTTAAAAAAAAAAGGGTTGTTTTCTTAGTATCGAGTTTTGCGGGTTCTTTATATATTCGGAACACAAATTCCTTTTAATGTATGTTTCACAAATATTTTCTTCCAGCCAGTTTCTCTTTCTATTTTCCTAAGTGCATTTTGAAAAGCAGAGGCTTTAAACTTTGATAAAACCCAACTTATCAAATTTTCTTATATGGATTATACTAAAAAGTCCTTGCCTACTCAAGATGACAAAGAAAACTGTCCCATCTTTTCCTCAAGGGCTTCTATTGTTTAGGATTTACATTTAGGTCTAAAATCCATTTTGAGTTAATTTTTATTTGGTGTGATGTATAGGTTGAGATTTATTCTTTTGCACATGGATGTTTAATTATTCCTGCACACTTTAATGAAAGACTATGTCTCTCATTGAATTGCCTTGGCATGTTTTTCAAAAATCAACTGACCACATTTGTGAGTCTATTTCTGGACTCTATTATGTTCTACTGTTGTATGTAGTTAGCCTTCTATTAATACCATATTGTCATGAATGGATGTTCAATTTTGTCAAATGCTTTTCCTGCATCTATTTCTTCTTTTTTTTCCCTGCGGATACAGTGAATTAGGCAGTTTGACTTTTGTATATTGAAACAATCTGCATTTCCAGAATCTATACCACTTTGTTATAATGCATTATGGTTTTTATAAATTGCTGAATATGCTATGATAATATCTTGAGGATTTTGTGTATATGTTCATGGATATTGGTCAACAGTTTTCTGTTCTTATAATGTCACTGTTGGATATTGTAATCAGGATAATGCTAGCTTCATAAAATGACTTAGAAAGTTTTTTCTTCTATTTAAGAAATTTTTTTTTGTAAAATTAGAATCGTTTTTTTCCTTGTATGCTTCACTAAAGTTTTCAGTAACGCCATCTGCCCCTAGATTTTCTTTGTTAGAAGTTTTTAATCTGTAAATTCAGCTTTTTGGGGAGATATAGGAGTATTCAGATTGTCTACTTCTTGTATATGAATGGGTAATTTGTGTCTTTCAAAGATCTTGTACCTTTTGCTTAAATTGTCAAGTTTATAGGCATAAAGGTGTTCCTAATATTCATGGGGACCTCATCACCTAAAAACCATGTAGTGTGTGGACACTCTGGGGCTGCTGCTCCTGGTGGAAGGCAACAGGGATCACTTGCTCAATATAGTCTAATTCCATTTGGATCAGAGAACATTGCGTGATTTTACTTCTTTTAAATTTGCATGGTTTGTTTTATGAACTAGAGTATGGATTTATCTTGGTGAATGTTCCAAAAGCACTGGAAAGGAAGGTGTATTCAACCACTGTTGGATGAAGTGTTCTCTGGCAAGTAAGTCAAATTGGACAGCAGTATTGTTCAAGTCTTCTATATCCTTACTGCTGTACTGTCACCTTATTTTCATCAATTACTAAGAGAACTACTAAGGTTTCGAAATACATCTGTGGTTTTCTATCAGGTTTTGCTTCACGAATCTTGAAGCTCTGTTTCTGGATGTATAATATTTAGCATTGCACATCTTTCTGGTGTATCCCTGATAATATTCCTTGTACCAATTCTTTGTTGATATTAATATAGCTAGCACAGCTTTGTTTCGACTAGTTTTAGCATGACATACCTTTTCCCATTTTAGTCTTTTAATCTACTTAATTACTTATATTTAAAAAGGGCTTCTTTTAGAAAACATATAGCATATAGTTCGGTCTTGCTTTTTTATCCAATGGGACAAATCTCTGCTTTAAGTGGTGAGTTTATTTTACATTTAATTTAATGTAATTATTGATATCACTGGTTTTAACCTAGCATCATGCTAGTTGTTTCCTATATGTACCATGTGTTATTCAATTTTCCTATCTGCTTTTGGGTTATTTTTTAGAATTCCAAACTACTGGTTTATTAGTTACATGCCACTTAAAAATTTTTAAGTGGTTGCTCTAGGGCCTATAATGTACATATATAATTTTTCAGTCTACCTTCTAATAATACTACACCAATTCACATAGTGCACAACAGCTACTTCCAATTTTTTTCTGCCCTGTTTTGTGGTATTGTTTTTTTACAACACATTTTACTTTTATATATGCTATAAACTCACAAAACCTTTCTCCTATTTTTGCTCTAGTGAATTATATTTTCTAGTGATTAAAAATAAGAAAACCTATTTTATATTTACTTCCATTTTAACCATTTTCAAAATTCTTTCTTTTAGGAGATCCAAGTCTATTTCTGGTATGATATTCTTCCAGCCTGTAGAAGATTCCTTTAATATTTCTTGTACTGCTGGAAGTATATTCTATTAGCTTTTGTTCACATGAAAATGTATTTATTTTGCATATTTTTCTGGAAGATTTTTTTTCATTGGGCTTGGAATTTCTGATTCACAGTACTTTGTTTTAGAATTAAAGATGCTACTCCATTGTCTTCTGGCATGCATAGTTTTTGATGAGAAGTTTCCTCTTTTTCTCATCTCTGTTCTTTATATGTAATGTGGCCTTTTTCTCTGTCTTCCTTTGCATTGTTCATTTT